TGTGTCCATCTACAAGTAAATATATATTTTTTAAAAAATGTATTACTTGCATGCCAGGTGTGGTGGTGTAGCCTGTAATCCCAGCAGCTTGGGAGGTTGACAGGAGGATCACGAGTTCAAAGCCAGCCTCAGCAATGGCGAGGTGCTAAGCAACTCAGTAAGACCCCGTCTCTAAATAAAATACAAAATAGGGCTGGGGATGTGCTTCAGTGGTCATGTGCCCTTCAGTTCAATTCCTGGTACCAAAAAAAAGTATCACTTGCCAGGCATAGTGGCATACGCCTGTAATCCCAGTGGCTCTGGAGGCTGAGGCAGGAAGATCATGAATTCAAAGCCAGCCTCAGCAACAGTGAGGTGCTTAGCAATTCAATGACTCCCTGTCTCTAAGTAAAATACAAAAAACAGGCTGGCGATGTGGCTCAGTGGTTGAGTGTCCTTGAGTTCAATCACCAGTACCCAAAAAAAAAAAAAAAAAGAAAAAGAAAAAAAAAGTATCACTTAAGAGTATTTAGTCTTGTTCTTTTCAGAGTTTCATTCTTTAAAGTCAGAAATCCACAGTACTGGGGACTGGTGTCAGGCAGATTGAATAAGAGAATACCTCAGGGGCAAAACTGAGATGGGAATGAACTGCAGGCAAGAGTGAGGAAGGATCATAGTTTCATTGGGCTTTAGCATAATGAATATGATCACAAACAGTGAGTGCTACCAAGTTTGAGGCCCTGGGCTGGGGAGGCACTTGTGCTGACCTGACCATCCCTAGGAGTAGATATGTGGGATCCTTATCATTGCACCTGCTCCCACAGGCTTGTAGAATGATGGAGAGATGAGTTGCCTTTCCTGGATTGTTCCATGACCTCAAGCCAGTGTCATCAAGACAGGAAAAGGCTGGGAGTCGTGGTACATGCCTGTAATCTCAACTCTTGGGAGACTGAGGTGGGAGCATTATTTATGTCCATGCATTCGAGACTAGCCTGGGCAATACAGGGAGAAGGCATATTAAAAACAAAACAAGACAGAAGGACCAAGTGCTATGGTGTATGCCTGTAATCCCGGTTGGCTGGGAGCCTGAGGCAGGGGGATCACAAGGTTGAGTCCAGCCTCAGCAAAACTTAGGGAGATACCATCTCAAAATAATAATAATAATAAAAAAAAAGAGAGCTGGAGATGTAGCTGAGTGGTAGAGCACTTACTTAGCACTTGCAAGGCCCTAAATTCAATCCATAGTACCATAGGGGGGTAAAAAGTCAGAAGTCCTAGTGTGTGAGTGGGTGTGTGTGTGTGTGTGTGTGTGTGTGTGTGTGCGCGCGAGGCGCGCAAAATAGTGTGTCTGAAGTTGAAGAGTTATTTGCAGGAGGTGTCTGTGTGTGTAAAATGATTTGAATTTGTTTTTTGAGCATAAACATTGTTTGGCACATGAGTATCAGCAGGAGGGGATAGACTCAAGTTGGAAGCCCTGATTGCCAGAAGGGGAATGAGGCTGCAGAGACAGGAAGAAGAGCACCAACTGCAGTCCCCTGGCAGTCATGGGAGAGGGGATGCAACCCTGGAGAGATCTCCTGGCTTTGCCCAAAACTGCTCCCCCACCTGGACCTCTATGAGCTCCTTGAGCTTTAATGTTATACCTGTCATTAACTCAGAAAGGAGTTAAGAATTAATCTGCTGAAAGTGAGGATAGAGAAGCCATGAGCCCCTATGTGAAGAGGGAGAGTACAGGGATCTCAGAACAAGGGTCGATATATCCGCCTGGGTGCAATAAATGACCCAGAGTTGGGTTTCAGAGGAAAAGCTGATAGATCCAGAACCAGGAGTGATCTCACAGGAGTGGGGAGTCTTAGGAAAAGAACGGCATCCGAAGGTCTATTATGGGTTTCCTGGAGCGAAGGAGAGCTGGTTCTTCCCTCCCTGGGCTCCTGGAACAGCCCGGTTTTGGTGAAAGCAATAAGGCGGCGCTTGGGGTGAGGGAGGTGGGAAGGGACTTCTCTCTGGTTGGAGAAGCGGGTGTGTATGTGGAGGTTTCCAAATTGGGAGAATGCGCCTTCATTCAAGAGTTACGGGGACAACGGACATAGTCCTGCCGCCCTAAAGCTTATCACGAACAGCCCCAGGCGATCCAGGGTCCGAGGAAGGGGCTCCCGGGTCCGGGCGAGGGAGAGGGGTCCCACATGAGGGGAAAGGGCCCGGGACGCTGAGTCTCGGGTCCGAGCCTGTCTCGCCCGCCCGCCCGCCGGGGCCCCGCGCTCACTGTCCATGCCCGGGAAGGGCAGCGGCTGCGCCCCGAGCTGCTGCTCCACAGCGATCTCCAGGTCGAACTTGATGTGGTCCACGCTGGCGATGATTTCCTGCATGGCGGCGACCGCAGCCCGAACCCGCACCGCGATCCCGCGCCGGCCCGCCCGCGGGGGCGCCCTACCTCCGACTTGGGGTTCACTTTCACAAACACCCGTCCAATGTCCGTGTCGTAACTCTGGCCCTGGCTGATGCACCCGCCCCCGGAGTGACCCGAGGCCTTGACCGAGCGGCAGCCCAGCTCGCGCTGCAGCAGCTCCTCCATGTCCCGCCGCGCGCCGCCCCGC